AACTTAATTTGTACAATAGCTTAAAACCCACAAAGGCTTCCATATGAACCCATGAGGAGGGAAATGTTATAAAAACGAACCAGGATTGCAATATAAAATCAGTTTACAAACTAACTCCGAACGTGAAATATATCTTTCAAACCGTCAATCAACGCGTTATTTCTTAACAACGAACCAGAATCCAGTGACAGTTAACCGTTGCCGTAGCCTAATTAGTTGTATTCAAGTCAGTGTACCGACGTTGCAAGGTGAACATAAAATTAACCTTTACCGCCCAGGGACCTAAAATAATACGTTGTCAAATTAGGTCACTACGTTAACAGAGGCTGACCTATCCTAGGCTATTGATGAACAACAAGAAATGATATGAACCGTATCTTCATATAATGTCTTGTTGTTCATCCAAGGATAGGTCTTGTCCATCTGAACAACTTCACCGAAGACGGAAACCTTCTATCTAGTTCATATGTTAAGTTAGGGCAAACGATGAATAATGAATGTCACACCACCTCGTGAGTGAATTCTGAACAAAACTCTTTACCTTAGAATAGGTCTTGTCCATCTGAACAAATTGACCAACCAAAAATTAATGTCACACTAGCGCTACCTTATGAGTGAATTATGAACTGAACGCTTACCCTTTGGATTGCAAAAATTGTGAGAGATGCTCTAGGTGCAGCCGTTGTTGGCTGTGTTGTTACAAAACGTCGGAGTGTACGTCAACTGTATTGAAATGTATTAATTGTTTGAAAATAAATAAAGAACGTAAAATGAACTTGGACGTCAACCATGCCGCATTTAGCTCGGAATGTTTGCTCTATAAAAAACTTTTTGATCAGAAGAAAGCAGCTTACGTTTCAATAAATAGCAGCCAAGTTCCAGGAATGTGAATCAATTCGATTTTTGTATTTGAATATTGCGGGGTTGTCAACAAACTACGTAGTCAGATTGTTGAGGCAAACGTGAACGGCGCCGGTGGTGTAGTGGTAATCGTGATTACCTCTCACCCCAGCAGGCCTGGGTTCAATCACAGTCGGCGCCACCGGGATGTTCTGAGGCATAACATCTCTGATCACGCCTTCCTTCGGATGGGAAGTAAAGCCGTTGGTCCCCGGTTCATGAGTTGATGGGTCGATAGGTAGGGTCCAGGTCAGGTGTGGGAGCTGCCTTCCTGGCACGCCGGTAGCATTGGTGCTCAGCACGGAAAACAAGATCGACGAAAAAAACAAACCAAAGGAAAAAAAAAGAGGCAAACGTCTTCTTTTAGTTTTATTATCTTTTTTTTTTAATAATTCGTTTATTTTTCCAGGCTCATTTGCTGTAGCTTTGCGGAGCCGATATTCATTGTTTGGATAACAAAATTACTTAAAACTAACGTTAGTAAAGCGGGGGCCGATTACTCGCGGCTATCTCGAGGTTAGGGGTGACAAATTGTAACAAATGGATGGCAGGGTAGGGATTGTGAACACAAGGTTTGGAGATCAATGTGCTCTTGATCTCGAACTAGGCGACACTCTGATGAAAAAGACAAACATGGGGGTACACCGATGGGAAGCTAACAACTTGGGAGAGCACAAGATGACACTTGCTGCTAAATCTTCAAATTTATCCGTTTTAAAAAAACATAAATTAAATTCAAATAGTCGAGGTCTCGGCTCGCCAAGACATCTCTAACGGGTATCGCGGGTTTTTTTCCTCGGGTCCTGAGGGATGTAGATAACTCAGATCTGGCAACACGGTGTAAGGTACATGACCAAACAACATGCTCTATATCGTGATAACAACTGCCAAACGCACATGAATTGCTGCCTGAGAGCCCAATTCGAAAGAAGTGCGAGTCTAACGAGCAGTGATTGGACATAAGCCTTGATATAACGCGTATAAAGTAGCGGCTCATGTCCAACCCTTTGAACCATGGTTTGTTCGACACCTGTGGAAGAATAGAATATTACCATCTTCCCAATTCACCATCATTCCATTTTTGTTGCCAACTGATGAGGACTTGCTGACGAGCAATGGAGAAAAATTCGTTGAAGCCGATTTGTCGCTCAAAAATATCGCCTTTCATAGCACCCACCTTAGCCAATGAGTCCGCTTTCTCATTACCCGGAATTGAGCTATGAGATGGGACCCAAGCTAAGGTGATAGTATAGGAGCAGTTAGATAAAGCACTCAGTTTAGATCGTTTTCCAGGACATACGAGGAGTGCTCCATCGACCTCATTGAACGAATAGCCTCCAATGAGTTAAGACTATCCGTAAAAATGAAATAATGGTCAGAAGGTACATTAGATCCGGATAGGACGCGTTGCGGTAAAATGACAGCTAAGTCTATTGTCTAACTGTCAAATTAACGTCAACGTAACGCAAACGGATCTAATGTGGATAGCCCTTAAGGGGGGAAATACAAGTAACACGTCAAAAACTCGACGATTTTCGGATTTTTTTTGTGAGCAAATGAAACAACGCAAACGTTTGGGGTTTTTTGCATTAAATTGTTTAAATCTTCTTCTTTATTTGAGATTTTTATCATTGGTGTGTGACCTCTGTGGCTCCTTGGGGTCACATCGGAAGGAGGTCACCTCCGGTGGGGATTGGTAATTGGCGGGCGTTCTAGAGACCTGAAAAATGGACAAAACTCACTTTTATCAATTGGACCTTATTCAGAAAAGATTTTTGTTCTGTGCGAACCTCTAAAACCCAAAAAACGATTTAAAAATTAAGAAAAAAATATCTGAAAAAAAAAGTTGATTTTTCACTGTTTTTTTCCAGCTTAGGCAGACCTGAAAATTATTTATTGTTAGTTTTATCATGATATCAGTGGTTCACATCGAGTAAAAATCTATTTCCTTTAAGATGCGCTAGGTTAAAAACGGTCAAGTCATTTGGATGAGAACTTTTTGAGTTGTCTTTCCCGCCAATTTGGAAAAACATGATTTCTGGAACTTATGGTTAATCGGCGATACCTTCCTCGTCTCGTAGCATTTAAAAAAAAAATTGAAGTAAAATATGAAAAAATCGATAAAAAAAAATGTTACTTGTATTTCCCCCCTTAAGTGTGTAGTTATTGTCTTTTCCGACCAGAATTAAGTAGCTTAGGAAATGGCAAGTTAAAGAAGGTAATGTAAAAAGATTGTATTGTATTCTTATATTCCACATATAAACATATGAATTCATTCGATTGAAGTGATTTGTATTGGAGGAGAGTGTAATTGCCAACTCCCTGTTGCCAACAGTTTTTGAATTGAAGGTGGGCTCTTCTCCCCACTCATTGGGACATCTCCTCGTTCTGTGTCGGTTAGGAACATTTTTAACATTGATCTCTGTTTACGGGTACACCCTCCGGCTCTTCATACAATGGAAAATTGAATACAACCAGATGCCATACTGATCAAGTCATACGAGGTGGACAGTCCACTGTCTAATGGCTGTGCCCTGCAATGAATAGTATGCTTTACATACAATAAAATAACGTACCTTATTAAGTGACAACTGCAGAGCTTCACCATTAACATTACCCATATGTTGAGTGAATTCAGAGCAGGACTATTCACCATAGAATAGTTCTAGTCTATATGAATTACTTTGCTGAAAATGGGAACCTTCTGTCTAGTCAAGATGTTAAGTAAAAGCAAATAATTGGAAAATTAATGGAGAACCAGTCAACTGGCCAGTACATTTTGAGCAGAAATGTTTACCTTAGAATAAGTCTAGTTCATCTGAACAACTTTGCGCCAAAATAGAATAATCATATATCTAGTCAAGATGTTGAATTAAAGTAAGTTAAAAATTAATGACAGACTAGCGCCACCTGGTGAGTGAATTATGACCTGAACTGTTTACCCTAGAAAAGTCGAGTCCATCTGATCAACATTGCCGAAGACAGAAACCTTCTATCCAGTGAAGGTGCTGAGTTATTTTTTGTTTATGCCGTATTTGGTATATTCATCATTGCCACCATTTCTTAGATCTATTGTGATCATTTCCCGGTTTAATATTGCTTTATCAGTATGTCGAGTCATGTAAAGCAACTGACATGGACTGACTAGAATAATTTTCCAGCCAGGTATTACTTTTTGAATGAAATGTACTACTTGGCTGAGTGCTGCATTCCAAATACTAAAGGGTTCTGCCAGCTCTTTATCCAAAAAAAAAAATGCCTTTTATTTTAGATTACTCTACAAGAAGGATGTTAAGTGAAAGTACATTAATAATTAATAGCACCTGGTGAGTGAATTCAGAACTGAACTGAACTGAGACTGAGTAGGGTTTACCTTAGAATAGGTCTAGTCCATCTAAACAACTTTGTTGAAAACAAGAAGCCTCCATATGAGCAGGATCAGTAGATATATGATTATTTAAAAATTAGTGCCATCTGGTGTTAAATTGTGTTATACACTATCCATAGTTTTGAAGGCCTACATGAAATACATGATCATCTTTGCCCAAGGAAGCAACATGCTATATGGTTGGGATCTCTTGATATAAACACATCTATCATCGAAAGATCCCACTTTTTACCCTCCTCACGAAGGATGATCCAACACAAAATATAATGTTTTTGGTACTAAAGTCTATTCCAGTTTTTTTTTTTTTTTCATCTTTGGTTCAAAATTTGTTATTTTTTTCAATGCGTCAGACAGTTGTCGGACATAATTTTTTATTAGATGACCCATTTTCGTATTATGATTATTTGAAAACATCGAATATGCCATTTTGACAAAAAGCGATATTCAAAATATACGAATTTCAGAACACAAAATTGGTTCATTGAATGAACAATTATGCTAAGCTCCATGGAATTGTAAATGGAAGGTAAATAAAATCGATAGTGTGGATTTGCTCAGTAGTATTATCGTGGTTTTCTATTTCGTCGGCGCTTTGTGCAGCACGTCAAGTATCCTTGATAAAACTGTTATATATCTACAATAATCAGCATCATAATCACCGGCCTTCAAAGTAAATACTCAACTCACTAAGTTTCCTTTTTGATTTTTGCAGACTGTGGTCATCAGGATGCCGGTCACGATATCAAGGAGCCGTAGGGAGGCTGAAATTTTTAAAACGGCCTTTTTGTATTATAGGTAAGTCCCTCGTTACCACTGTCCCCACGTAGTAGTTGGAGCCCATTGTGTAACCAGCCAATTAAATGGATCGTCACTTTATTTTTCATCCCTCCCCCCTCCTTGCAGATGTAGTTACGATAATAGCATCGATAGTGGTACTTGTGATGGGAACATCCGGCCAGGTCTTTGCTACGAGTGCATTGCGTGGCCTACGGTTCTTCCAGATCCTGCGCATGGTGCGGATGGACCGACGTGGTGGCACGTGGAAACTGCTAGGGAGCGTCGTTTATGCTCATAGACAAGTAAGTAAGCACACTCGGCGGAAACAAACAGTCACACGTGGGACAATCAGTAGGAACAATTTTCTACGATGACCAACGGGGATTTATATAGTTCTCGGTATCAATTTCCTCACGCGCTGCTCTCCGGCGCCGGTGGTGTAGTGGTAAGCGTGACTGCTTTCTAACACCCCAATGGGTCTGGGTTCAATCTCAGCCGAGGTCGGTGGGATTTTTCTGAGGCATAAAAATCTCTGGTCATAGCAAAGCCGTTGGTCCCGGCCCATGTGTGTTGTGTGAATGGGTGCGATATCCTACGTAGGTGTGGAAGCTGCCTTCCTGCACATTCGATTGTCATCAATGGATGGCAATCGATGTCCGTCGGTGATTGGCAATAGATTGCGGAACAGAGACCGACGTTAAATAAAGGAAAGAAGAAGTATAGTCATACATGTTAATCTTTATTGATAGCACCCTATTCCCTGATTCAAGAACATTGTAATACTGATTTTGAGTGTAAAATTGACCAAAAGTCATCACATTACACTGATGCAGTTTTGCCGTTGACAAATTGAATGCGACTTCGTTCGGGTGCACGTCGTCAGGGTCAGGGCGTAAGCATTTAGAAACGGAGAGACGCTAGGTATTGTGCATTTCGTATTTTAGTTATACAAATTTTAAAGTCATACAAGTCCTAGACCATTGTATGAGACTAATACCACCTCCGTCCGTTACCATATAGACCAAAATTGGAGGTTGATCTCGGCCTTGAGGCCCAACAGTCGAGAACTGTCGTGGACACGTTCTTGCAACTGCTGGTGATGGGAAAGGATTGTAAGTGGAACACTTACTTAAGAGATATGCGCACACTTAGATTATTGTACAGGCGTCAGTACTTTTTTACTGGGGTTTTGAAAGTCGGTAAAAATTCAGATTTCCGTAAACCGACAAATTTTATTTCATATCATTAAATGATGTTAACAGAACTGAGTCTGTATAAGTTCGCAGTACATTTTCTCATTTTTTAATTTTCCACAGATTTTTAATCTTTTACAATTCAAAAACCCAGTAAAAGCTTACTGACTGGATAAATGTGCATAGAATTATAGGACCTTTCATAAGTGATACGTTAGTTTGAGGGCTTATTATTGGGGAAAGTAAGCCCACAGTATACGTTTGATAAACGTATACAGATAGATCACACGATCTTTGAAATTTCACATCTTAAATACCACTAGTTTGTTCTCGATCACAGCATCTTTTAACAAACGTGAAAATATTAAAACAAATTGCAGGCGCCAAAATCCATGCAAGAAGCATATTGCCTTGTACAGGTTTCGCACAATGAACATAGATAGTTGCGACGGTGAAGATGCTCTAATACGTGCGATGTTTGGTCAGTGATGAAATGTCAGATAAACCCAAAAAAACGGGTTCTGCTATGCATCACAACAACCTCTCTCCTCGTCAGCGTTGCCAGATATAACGATATATTGGTATTTGTACCGATTTGTTTCAACATGATACCAATATACAGATAAGATTCCTCAGAAAACCGACTTTGGATATTTTTCACTGATTTTTTCCGATTTTTTAAATAATTTGAGCCGATTTTTTAACAGAAAACTTCACAACCAAAATTTTACGGAACATAGCTAAAAAAAAAATACGACAAAATCGCAAAAAATACACGCGCAAACAGACTTGCAATCATTTAAAACATTTACAGTCGACCTTCCGAGAGGCGCAAAGTATTGTGCATCTAAATAAAAATGATCTATACGCTGATGAATTGACATCCAAACTAACTGGTAGCACAGTTAAAAAGCTGTTGAAAGTACCAACAATAACAACAACAGTCTTAAAGTCACGATTTCCAAAAAGTTGGAATTAGGTTCCCCGTTGGCAGTTGTGCATTAGGTTATTTAGAAAATAACAAAATAGCTTATTGAACAATATTTGAGCCTATCGCCGTCTTCACTAGAGATACTGATAAACTTGTTAACTTGTCTATTAACTTTTCTATTAGTCAATGCACTAATCACATTCTATCGAAATGCTGTTTTTTTTATATATATAGAGCAGTGTTCCAGCAGAAAATCAATCAGACATTTGAATAGCTTTATTCAAAACGGAATCTCGTCTTTGTTTTTCAACATCCCATCTAAAATGATCTTATCTTCTACAGAAACGGGAAATGAAAATGAAAAAGCTTTCCGGGAAGCGAGAACAATGAAAACATGCCAGCACAGCGAACCACATTACCATTTTCCTACTATTCACCAGCTTCCATATTGCTATCAGCACTGGCAGGTAAAAGGAGGTGGCACGGTCAATCACAGGCACTTTTTCGGCCCCAAATCTTTTTCGAATTTTCAACCTTTCAAATTCATCATGAAGACGTCACTTTCCAACAATATATGAATCCCCTTAATCAGCAGCCTGACGACGCTAGCGAACTCGCCGTCTATCGGATTACAATCTACGAGGACTGAAGAAGTTCTTTTGCTTGTGCGGCAGTCAGTCAGGGCTGCTGCTGCACCCGGTGCAAACTTTATTCATTTTATATGCGATCATAACAATTAACATCTCATCTAGTTGAGTTTTTGCCCATCCTGGATTCCGGTAACAACAGCAGTCAGGCCCCGCCGGCCGTATTCTCTTCCATTTGACCATTAGAGTGGAGGCCCACCATCCAACACAAGGTATCATCATCGTCGTCATCGTCGTGGTCCTCGTTCTCGTCGACGGACGGCATCTGTTGGGCCCATTATGAAAGTCGGGATAATAATTCACTCGCTTTCTGCCTCACTGTGTAGGCATCCTGTTTCTCCTACTCAAAAGGATGCTACTGAAAAGTTCTTTTAGTCTCATACCGACGATGAAAAATACCTCACCCCTCTTCGATTGCAGGTTCCAGCATAGTAAACTGTTCTGGACTCTGGGGGTGGAGGGAATGCCTCTTACTGCAGCATCTCCGAACGATTTTGCTGTTTTTGTGAGACCGGAGAGTGTTGTGATAAGCTTGGACTCTCGAGAGCACACAGCTTCGAAAATTTCATTAAGTTTCATAACCTGCCATGATTTATACGACTATTAAGCCCCGCTTTACATTGCTGGAGAGGCTGGAGGATCTCAGAGGGATTTAGCCATAAAAGTGACCGAAAGTCAACTCGGAAACAGTTTCCAGTTAAGTTTTCCAAAGGGAGGTTCTTCTTTTGTGCGTTGTACTGAAATATCTGTTGGATCGTTCAGTTTCGGTTGACATCCATATTATCGTTAAGGAACCAGAAATTAAGGATGGTTGTGAGAGAACATAAGGCGGAAGAACATGAGCATGACATGGCTTGCAATTATTAATATTTTTTCAAAAGCCCTTTCGATTGAGAATATAGGGAGTGTATAAAACGCCCCCTTATATTTCTATGAATATAACGTATATTTAAATGCAACAATTACGGGCAATTCAAATAATTAGTGAGAGCACCCTATTATGCAAGTTTAAAAGCTGTCAAGTGCCAAGAATTAGCGGTGCCGGTGGTGTAGTGGTAAGCGTGATTGCCTCTCACCTTAAAGGGCCTGGGTTCAATCCCAGTCGGCGCCACCGCGATTAAAGCCGTTGGTCCCCGGTTTATGAGTTGATGGGTCGATAGTTAGGGTCCAGGTCTGGGAACTGCCTTCCTCGCGTCGATAGCATTGGTACTCAGTACGGAAAACGAGATCGACGGAAAACAAGCGAATGAAAAAAAAGTGCCTAGAGTCAATAATAAAAAACAAAATTCAGCGGCGCCGGTGGTGTAGTTGTAAGCGTGATTACCTCTCACCCCAGCTGGCCTGGGTTCAATCCCAGTCGGCGCCACCGGGATGTTCTGAGGCATAACATCTCTGATCCCGCCTTCCTTCGGAAGGGAAGTAAAGCCGTTGGTCCCCGGTTCATGAGTTGATGGGTCGATAGGTAGGGTCTAGGTGTGGGAGCTGCCTTCCTGGCGTCGGTAGCATTGGTGCTCAGCACGGAAAACAAGATCGACGGAAAACAAAACAAAGAAAAACAAAACAAAATTCTGAATAAAAAGATTTAAAAGACTACTTCTAAAAAAATGGCATGAAATGTTACATATGCTGTAAAATTGTTATCTCGGGTAATATGCCCACTTCTAGGCGATATGCCCCATTGTTTATCATCGAATCCAGGATTCATATAAATGCAAAATTGATGAGAAATCCAAGTATTTGATGGCAACACTCTACTGCGATAGTTTGACAGCTCTGTAAAGTGCCACACACAAATATTGAAAACAAAATTCTGAAAAACATTCTTTGATGTAATTTTTACGTAATTTTGGTAAGTTTATTAAAATAGATAGGGGAAATGTCCCTAATGTTGGCCTATGGATCTAAGATTGGGCCCATCGCTAAAAATCCACTATTTATCAATTTTATTTAGATGAACGTGTTATTGGGATGTGACTAATGGATGTTTTTGGTTGCTATTGAACATTTAGTCGATTGCTGAATTTATGTATGGGCCCAAATTAGGGACACTTAGGCCGACATTACCTTAATTTTCCCTATGTTTTCCATCTTTGTGCGGTTTCAGACATCTAATATTGACGCTCTGGGGCCTGTCACCACAGCAGCGTTGTGTGGCATACAATACTTCTAGTATAAAACATGCTTTAATTTTGTTGTAGCCAGTGATGAGAATAATCAAAACAAAATCCATACTCAGGAATGGCCGAAAATCACTGCTGATCTTGAGATCAGCAAAATCAAGGTTGATTTTAACCGAACCTGATTTTGAGGTTACCAAATCACCAAACAGAAAATCAATACCTTGGTATTACAGTCAAAGCTTGAAACCGACATCCACTGCCATTTTGGAATTCAAGACGGCGGACCAAAGCCCAATATGGCGGCCTCCGGACAGCGAATATGTATCTAAACCCATGCAATATGGGTATCTACGGAATGGACACGATGAGTAGTGGAAAATTGAAATCCAAAATGGCGGTGGGTGTTGATTT